GAGGTCGACGTTTCACAGTTTCCACAATTTCGAATCAGATTCTTCACCGTTTTCAGGTTATATCTCTTGGGTTTTTAATTTCCATACTTTCGTATTATTCAAAGTTTTCTTGTTTGTTTCAAATAAGATTCACTCGGCTGATCTGGGGATGAGATTGAGGTTCAGTTCTATCAATTTCTAGTGATATGAATTATGTAAAGCCTTAAGGTCCGACTTGCTCAGAAACCCAAATTTTACAAACTTGTGTCATTGTCTCTATCGTTGGTCTTTCTTTGTTAATTTCAAAATTTTCTGCTTCATGAGTTGCTTTTGAGTTTTTAGTCTTTGCATCTGTATAAAATGGTTTCTCCTCCGTTACTTGATTTCGTTTTTGGTTATTGTAGCTTTAGGAGTTTGTTTAAAATGGCTGGAGGTTCAAAGAGGTCTAAAAGAGCAAGACTTTATGATAGTGAATCAGAAGAGATAAGCGACCAAGACAATCTTAAGGTACTTTTTTTTTTGTTGCTTTTGTCTGGTTATGTTGTTTAGATTGCTGTATAGGTGAATTTATCATCTGGTTTGAGGATTCTATTGCAGGTGGAAGGCGAGATCGAAGATGATGAATCGCCTGATGAGATAGAGGATGATGAAGGAGATAGCATGGACGCTGATGAGGGAGAGAGTGAGGAAGACGACGAAGGAGATAGCGAGGAAGACGATGAAGAAGATAACAAGGAAGATGAAGATGAGGAAAGCGAGGAATTTGAAGATGGAGAAAGCGAGGAATTTGAAGATGGAAATGACAAAGAAAGTGAGAGTGGCGATGAAGGTGATGAGGACAAGAAATATGCTGAGATGGAAGAGCTTGAGAAAGAGTACACGGAGCTTCGTGCACAAGAACAGTAAGATTTCATCTGAGCTATCTCAAGTTTTTTTTCATTTTCGTTTCCATCATGATGAATTCTTGTACTTGTTTCTAGATAGTCTTATTAATGTTACTGTTTAGCCTAGTTCAATAACATAAACAAGACTGATGGCTGGATTAGAAGTAGGTTCGAGTTCATTGAAGCAATTGGATTTATCAGTGACCAGTAGAAAAGAGATAACATTTGAAAGAAAACAGACTTTTGTCGAAGGCTTTTTTTGTTAGATATTGTTCTTCTCAATTTATCATCTATCTTGGAATGAGCAATTGAGAGCCAAAAGGAATCATTAATAAAGTTTCTTTTCCAAGATGTTTGTTCTGTGTGTAATATTCTTGTTCCTGGTTAAGGGATATACTGAAGAACCTGAAGCGTGATAAGGGTGAGGATGCTGTTAAAGGTCAAGCGGTGAAGAACCAGAAGGTATGATATTGTTCTATGGTTTGTTGAAGTAGTCTTGCTAGAAATCAAATGCATGCAGTTGCAAATGTATATACCTATCTTTATGTTAATGAAGTTAATCTAGAGTGATTTCTTTTTAAGACCGTTTTTTTTTTTTTGGTGCTCTATTTGAAGGCTCTTTGGGACAAAACTCTGGAGTTCAGATTCTTACTTCAGAAAGCATTTAGTAGTTCAAACAGATTGCCGCAGGTAAGCTATTCTCTTCTTCTATTCATCCTTTTATTGTGTCATCATGCTTATTAAAGATGGTAATCCTTTTCAGGAGCCTGTCAAATCATCTTTTTGTTCGGAAGATGAGAACGTCTCAACAGCATATACAGATCTTATTACTTCATCAAAGAAGACATTAGATTCCCTCTTGGAGTTGCAAGAGGTATGTATGTATAGATAGGATTCATCGTTCTTCTACTTTCTCCTTTGTGTTGGAAATTATATTTTGATTCAGTAACTGTATCCCCTGCATCTCTCTGAGTTTACTGTCTCTCTGTCACCTTTGTTTTTACTCTTTTTATCGAAATATTGATCTGCAGGCTTTGCTTGAGAAGAATCCATCAGTTGATCAGCAAGTAGATGGTATGACATATTAAGCAAAAAAGAAAATTATAATCAGTATAAGCAACGGTCAGTATATAATTTCCTTATTGCCTCTCAGGAACAGCTACTTCAGTGCGTTCAGAATCCAATGAATCAGATGCAGAAGATAGCGATGAATGGCAGCGAATATCTGACTTGCAAAAAAGGTATTAGAAATTAACATTTAATCTGGACAACCTTGTAATTTTCCAGAAAAATCTATTTAGTAAAACATGATTTACTTCATTCGGCGACCAATCTTATTACTATTAATGTTTCATTGTTAACACAAAATTTGGTGTTTGCTATGTGTTGTAGAATGTCTATATTCCGAAACAAGGCTGTGGACAAATGGCAGAGAAGAACACAAGTGACAACTGGTGCAGCTGCTATTAAAGGAAAGCTCCAAGCTTTTAACCAGGTATTGACAACAAAACCTGGAAATTGATCTTGCTCCGGGGATTACTCAGGAATCTAACTTGATTTATTTTCGAAAACTAGAATGTTAGTGAACAGGTTGCTTCTTACATGAGGGATCCAAGTAGAATGATTAAGCAAATGCAACAATCAAGATCTACTGTTGCTGTTTTTGGAACTGTAAGTGTTGGCTTTAATAATTAAACTATCCCATGATCTTGGCCATGGTGGTTAATACATCAGCTTCTCTTTAGTTTGTTCTGATCTTTAAACTTCAATCCACAGGTGCCTGGTGAAACCATGGAAACAAACCAAGAGGTATTGTCGCGGTTCTCTCTAACCAAGACAAAAGAATCAAATTAGGTTTTATCTGTCTTCTTTGAGTATCCTTTATGCCCATTCTCTGACATGGTTCAGGAAAAACAACGAGAAGTAGACCCTGAACTTGTAGAGGATGCTGAATTCTATCAGCAGTTACTAAAGGAATTCTTTGAGACCATCGATCCAGCTTCCTCGGGTATAGTAACACAAACATCTCGGTTTCATTAGAGATGAAATCCCTAGCGATTGTTACATCTAACATACAACTCAAGTCTTTTTACTTGTGTTTGAGACTTGAGCGTAGTTATTTTGTTTTCTGATATCTTAATTTTGCCCTTGGCAGAGGCGGCTTTCTACGCGCTGAAGAAATTTCAGATGAAGAAGCGGAAAGTTGTGGATCGACGTGCCTCTAAGTGCCGAAAGATCAGGTAAATATAACAACTGATCGCTTTCTTTTGGATTAAAACATCACAACTTGACTATCCCTTTCTTAAATATTTTGTATGAAAAATCGAAACAGGTATAATGTTCATGAGAAGATTGTCAACTTCATGGCTCCACGACCAGTGAAGGTTCCTCCCAACACTGCGGATTTACTGAAGAATCTGTTCGGTCTCAAGACCAGTAACAATTTGTCTGAAGCATAATATTAAGAAACCACAATTTTGAAACGCAGGAATAGTTTTGTGAACTCTTTTTTTGTGTGGTATGTTGTAATACAAGGTTCATAGTGAAAACTGAAAAAATCATTTTATCTATCGATATCGTTTTTTATCATCTCTAGACTTTGAAAGCATCGAGTTAATCTGTTAAACTCAAAATGAAACACAAGATAGTTGATAACTTAAACTTATCATCTCTTCATTTTGCCTATTTTAATTAATTTTGAAATTGTGGATTAATTAGTATAATAAATATATATTCATTTGTAATTTTTCCTTGAAAACGATTTCAAATTTCTTTTTAATCCAAGATATATAATCCATTTTTTTGTCAAAATCCAAATAGAATGATTCCCGATTTTATATCAGTTTTTTTTTTTTTTACTTTGTTCTAATCGAAATTTTTAATTCTTCATTGAACCTATCATTATTTTTTAAAAATAAGAAAACAGAAATCACAAAACTCAATGATGTCATAAAAAAATCCTTGTAGGGGAGGATAAAAAGCTAAACGTAGTTAAAAGACTATATGACTTTCAGAACGTATCGCCCAAGAACTCAGCAAATCGGATATATTTTCAATTTTCAATTTCTAAAAAGATTTATATGAAGAAATTTATGCTTGAGCGTCAAGCCAACAAACAGTTACCTAAATAATCTCCCCACTACGTCTATATAAACATACGAACCC